TTTAATTGTTTAAAATGTAGAGTTTTAAGTCATGGTTACTTTTAATTGGAGGAGAGCATAAGCAAGCTGCAACAGAGAATTATCAGACCTACCAAAGAGCGGGTGTCAGCTGCAGCAGCTTTGCTGCTTTTGCTACCACCATCCACTAATTAGCAGGCATATCACAACATAGTAAAGTATTTAAGTGAAACCATGGAATGAAGCTGAAATACTGTTGTCTCTTTTATCTAATAGACCTGCAAAATGTTTACTTACTCAACAGAAGCAAAAGATTATGGCTTTAGAGTTAATGCCAGGCTGAAGGCTCAATATTTGATAGGTACACTGAAGGCACAAGTATGACTGCCTGCACAGATGCTAGAAAAAAACACTTGAGTGTTTTAAATTATTGTATTATGTAAACAAGGTAAGTTTGACCATAGAAATCCATCTCTAATGTGATACAGATGTTCTAGAATAGATTTTCTTCACACTTCCATGAACAGAGATGCTTACTGAACATTGATGGTTATTGATTTTCTGAAACTGACTGTCAGAATGCAAGCAAGAAAGGAAAATATTTTTGTGGTCTTATTGGCTTTGTACTTGCAAGATCACTCACATTTCCACTCCAAATGTCAGTTAAACTTGTCTTTAGGGAAAATCAAAATTATTGAGGATTTAATTAATATGTACAAAGGAGTGAAGAGTCCCTTATATTTGTGGTGGGTCATATTCTGTCATTGTGCATAGGTGCACAATGATTCAATGCAGTGAAGCAGGAGCTGTCATAGTTCATATGTTAGGTCCCTACCTGTGTTTACTGAATTGTACACAAACTTCAGCTGGCTTTTATGCCATTTTTGTACAGCTGTTGCTAAATGGTAACTCTTCCATTTTGCAACTCAAAATCAAAGGGCCATTAACTCCTGTCTCTATTTTAGTATTGTCAAGCAAAGGTCAAATTGGTCTCTTGCTTGTTTCCTGTTACACAGGAATGTATTACCAGCAGTATCATTTTCCTTCATATATGAAGGTTCTATCTCCGCATTTCCCATATTTAACAAATGTTCCAGAGGAGAAATTAGCCAAGTTACTATAACCTGATGTTCATTGCCAATCCTGAGAAAAACATTTTTAACTGGAAAGTCAACATCTTATATTCCAGATAAGATATAAGCAGAAATCTACACCTTGACTAACTGGAAACTGATCTTAATTTAAATAGAAAATTACACAAAATATACTTAAACAGAAATATACACCAGTGTTTGCTTTTAACCACAATTAGGGCATTGATGATATTACTGGAGAGCCACTTGTTCAGCGTGAGGATGATAAACCAGATACGGTTACCAAGAGGCTGCAGGCTTATGCTGCACAAACAAAACCTGTTCTAGAATATTATCGGTAAGTAGTAAAATCTATTAGTCCACATTCTAAAAGCTTCTTCCACATTAGCATAAACAGATCTCTTCAGTGGCAGAGATACAGCAGGAGGGAATGTGGTATGAGTAGTAGTGTATCTATCTTTCATCAACTCAGTAAGAAATCATCCCAGTAAAATGAGTATGTTTTAACACTGTTGCTTAGGAGCCTGCTTAGCAAACCTCTTTAGGAGCCTGCTTAGCAGAAGAACCTTGGACTGCAGCCATATTTAGCTTTACAAAGAGTGCTGTGCATTATTCAATACATTATAGTACTGTTCAATACATTATAGAACTGAGCAACAGTGCTCTGGTTGGTAAGGTAACAGACAGTTCCCTTTTTTTTGATTTAACAGCATTTTCTCTTCTGTATATATAAGTAGAAGCCATCCTAACAAGGGCTAAGGGTCAAGAAATGGTACACAGAAAAACTGTTAATGAGGATTTAAAAGTGGCTTTTCTAACAACAGGACTGTGACAGGCACTGCTAGCAAGCCTCTTTTGGAGTAGGGTAGCTATTTGAGAATACTCATTTGCACTGTGGAACGATAACAAATTATTAGTGAAGAGCCAAAATTATACACAAAGTGTCTCTTCGTGTAAAACTGCAAATGTCACATTGTTAAAATACAGCCAGTAGGTCACCCTGTAGAGCTCTGTAGTCTTATCTCACCTAGACAATGAAATAGGACTCTTTGACAACCTTCTGAAGTGATTGTCCTTCCTCTATCTCAATATCCACCACCCTTCATTATGCTCTACCAAAACTGTTGAACAGAAGACTAGAAGCTCCAGTCTTTGGGGTGTTTAAGTTTTAAAGAAGGAGTTTTTTTTGATTGACAATTATTTTTCTGACTTGGGTAGCTTTCTGAAGTGAAAATGCCTCAAAGCACCACAGTAAGGCATAGGCCTAAGCTATTATTACTACTGATAATAACATACTTTACAGATAAAACTAGCTACTAGAACTAACTTAGAGTAACTTGATTGTGCCTGATTCACTTGCTCGTTCTGATGCACCTTCTTTGATCCTTGAAGTGTAACTTTACAATACTTGGGTTCATCACAGTTGTTTGGATGACTGCTGTATAGCATACTGCTTCTTACTTTTACTCTTCATGGTTTGTTATTAAGTACTCTGTGGACAGCTGTTAATTTTATGAAGTGACGTGGTCAACAGCTCGCTGTTTGAGGAACAGAATAATGCATGTCCAGCCTGCGTTCCCAGTGTTATGGCTGGTCTTGGTGTTAAATCACATGCATATTCACACACTCCTGCCAGGGCAGTCTTAAAGAGGGGCGGAAATCCTGGAAAAATTAAACAGTTTTATTTCTGTAATGCTTTCTTCTTTTTCTGCCTTAGGGAAAAAGGGTTACTGAAATCCTTCTCTGGAACAGAAACCAATAAGATCTGGCCGCATATCTATGCTTTTCTCCAAACCAAGTTGCCAGATGTGAGCCACAAAGATGCTGCCATTCCCAGGTGAAAATAGGTCCAACTTCTGCTCATCTGTCATAGCTCACACTTGATTACATGAGATTCTACCAGACTGATCATAATTAAAGTCTAATGTTGTCCTTAACTTACATTATGATAAAACTTTGTTGCCTGTGGTTCTCACTTTAATGATGTATATTTTTATATTAAATATACCTAATTTTTATAATATAGTAACTGACTTTTAACAAAAGCAGCTACTCTTGTGTCTCTTATTCAGAAAATATTTAAGTCTGCAAATATTGACTAGTGAAGGAAACACATTTCAGAATACTTATTACAAAGCACATTAATTTATTTACGTACTCATGAATTGTAGTGTGACGTTAATGATGAGGACATGAAAGCACGTTTCTTGAATGTGTGATTACTTTGGGCCAGACAGAAGCTGTGGGGAACCATGACCACCATTCTGCAAAAAGCCGTTTCAGACCAGAACTGGCATACATATATAGAGATTGATCTCAGGGAAGACAGTCACCTTCTTTTAGCCTTGCTTGCCCAGATGTTAGTTGATTTTGCTGGGCTTAAATTACCTTTAACACTTGCTTGGACGACTGCCCTTACTATTATATTTCTGCCCTCAGAGCAGCTGTCTTGCAGGCATGAGAAACAGAGTTTCAGATATGTGAGACATTTGGTAAAGCCTCTTTTGTGCAGCTGCATAAGACTTTATTAGCAAAAAGACAGCAGATACCAAACAGGTTAAGTGTAATCTGGTAAACTTGTAGCTAGATGATCTTGACTAGTGAATGTGTCTTTTCTGTTCTCTTTGAAAAAACAACTGCTTATTGATGCCAGCGCTAGGATTTCCAGTGGTCAGTTTATTAACTTTGTCTTACTACTCTAGCAAGTTTTATTGTAGCAATTGGACTGGTTTTCATGAGTTCATACTACTAAGTCATGTCTCTGACCAGCTCTTGTATTTATTTATTCACTAGATAACTGGAGTTACAGTAGACATTGCTATTTTTCAGTGAACTCTCCTAGCCCTTTTTTCATGCTCACCATATTGAGAGTTTCAAGAAGAGTCAGCGAAACCTGAGGAACTAACAACTCTGTAGGCAACATCTGAAGTAGCTGTGTCCAATCTCCTTTTGCAGTGACTGTAAATAACTACAGAGCTGTGGTGCTGACGTACCCTGGACTACGTTTACATGTCTAGTTTTAGCACTGTCAATAATGAGACACATTTAAGTCTAAAAAAGATGGTCACTGTAGAATTTGTAAAGCTTTACCATTACTAAAAATGAACAATATGGGCAGCAGCTATCACTGCAAGCAGCTTTCCTTACATTTTAAAGAAAGCTTGCCAAATGGCTGACCACTTGTACTTTCATCTTCAGAAATGCCTGCATGGAGGCTGTAGACTGAATGAGTTTAGAGATACACTTCCTTAAGAGTTTCATGGTTAGAAAACAATAGCTACCACATTACAATGAGAAACCCTGACTTGCTGCTTACTTCTATTTATGCATTTTGATTTCAATAAAAAGCAGCTATGCATGGTTTTTTTGCCAGCCAATGTAGCTGGAGGGACAAAGGGGAGGGAATCTCCTTATCATTTTACACTTATTCCCACAGCATCAAATTTTAGCCCCTTAGAAGAAACTTCTAAATTTCCGTACATGTATTGGGTCTGGCTGGG